AGGAATTCAAAAGTAAAACAGAATATGAGAACTTCCTGTGGAAGCAAGGCTCATATTACCACATGTCTTATTTATCTTTACCTTTACACAAGTCACTGATATCCTCAGGCAGAGTTAAGTCAGCACATCTCAGAGAAGATGAAAACAGACTGGCAGTTTTGATAAAAGGGATGTACAGAGGTGACACTTCACTGAACACTTTGTCCTTCATCAATTCATCTGGGGTTGGCCTTGAGAAAGATAATTTAAAATATTGAGCATGGATAAAAGTCATAAAAAATTTTCTATTAAAAAAACACACATTTGGGGATGGAGAGATGGCTCAGCAGTTAAGAACATTGGTTGTTCTTGCAGAAGACCTGGGTTCAAATCCCATCACCCACATGGCAGCTAACAACTGTCTGTAACTCCAGTTCCAGGGGATCTGACAGCCTCTTCTGTCCTCCGCAGTAATTGCACAACACGGGTGCACTTACTTACACATAGGCAATACACGCATATGCACAAAATAAAAATAATAAATAAAAAATATTTTAAAAAAACAACATTCAAAGGGGGAGTTAAAAGTTTAAAATATTCCCTTAGCACAGAAAATAACAAAGCTCTCCTTAGCAGACTCTAGACATTATAAGTAATGCTGAACTATTATTTGTGTTATACTTTCTGTATCTTATGCTCTAACAAAAATAGTTTTATAAACACCTCAAAGTATGCTTTAATACTAATTTCTTTGTCCCTAACATGGTTTGGTAGAGTTGTTTTCCTAAGAACAAATTATAATATATTATTTTCTAGCATTATATTTAAGAAGCCTAAATACAGGGACTGGAGAGATGGCTCAGCAGTTAAGAGCACTAGCTGTCCTTGCAGAAGGCCCGTGTTCGAATCCTAGCACCCACATGGTGGCTAACAATCATCCATAACACCAGTTCCAGGGACGCTGACGTCCTCTTCTGTTCTCCATAGGCACTGCAGGACACAGGTGCACTTACATAAATGCAGACATATCACTCATACATGTCAAATAAAAACAAATGAATTATAAAAAAGCTTTAATACAGGTATTTAAATATTGGTAATTAAAAGGAACATCATGAAATGAAAATAAAACATCAAAGAAATCCTTCTATATATTTATCAGCAACTATAAACTTATCTTAAAATTCTGCCAGGTTCAAGGTTGGAGAGATAGTTCATTAGTTAAGAGCACTGGCTGCTCTTGCAGAGGAGCCAGGTTTGATTCCCAGCACCCACATGGTGGCTAACAACCATCTGTACTCCAGATCCAGGGGATCTGATGTCCTCTTCTGACTTTGATGGGCATTGTCCAACATGGGTGCACTTATATATATGCAGGCAATACACTCAGAAAATGAAAATAATTAAATATTTTAAAAAATATTCTGCCAAGTTCAATACTATAATCTACATTGCCAATGTACTTTGTCTTACGTCTCGAATACTATCATTAGATTTGAATACTGACACTACTGTTTAGCTGATTTTCTTCTGAGGCTAGGAGATGAATTAGGAATGTCTTTTGGTATATGTCAATTCTTTTTACTATGGTTGGACAAAAAATTAAGCTTTAATCACATATAAGATACTGAGGTTAATTATGTACTACTACATGTGCAGATGTCTTCACTTAATCCATTAGTAGCACAACATATACAAAATCCAATGTTTTTATGTAAAGGATTTCAGGCTAATCCTAAAGTCTTAAGGTACCAACCTCTTAGAAGGATGGAAGGTGAGGCACTTCTTCAAAACAGTTATCACATTTTCAGGAAGCTCCTGGTAAATAAAGATAAAATGATTAGAAAAATGACCCATTTAAAAATATATATTTAACTCAAATGTTTGAATCTCTATAAAGTTTTATTTTTTTAAATCTTTTTTAGGACTTTACATGAATTTATACTAATTTGTTACTCTGTGGAAAAAAGAAAACATCTACAGAGAAGTATAGTTTTAATACAGCTTGCTGTTGTATCCCACGTATGAAAACAAGCTTTCACAAGCAGGTTGCTATGGTTTGACTGTGTTCCTTCCTAAATTCAGGTGTTGAAATCTAATGCCAAGCTGATGACATTAAAAGGTAGGTCTTCAAAGATGATGCAGCTACAAGGCCCCTCATCTTGGGAACAGGATACCTCACATAACCTTTCCTAGTTTGCCTTTCTGCTCTGTAATGATACAGTGTTCCCTGCTTGGGAGATGCAGTCCTCACCAGAAAACAGAGCCTGAGGCAGCCTGACCTTGGGATTTCCAACCTTTAAAATGGTGAGACAATGGATTTTCGTTCTTTAAAAATTACTCAGTCTCAGATAGTCTATTAGAAAAGCACAAAGACAAACCTTAATGATATCCAGACAACCATGCTCCTCAGCCAGAACTATTATAGTGTCATCTACACACCCTATGAAAACAAAGGATCAGACAAGTAAGGCCTGTTTTTATAATCTCTTAATAATCAAGAAACAAACTATGATTAAAAAAAAAAGTTCAAGTATCATAATGCAATTTTGGTGCCTTGACCAGGAAGAACTTATTTGATTAACTTTCCTTGTGTGTTTTGATAAAAATAAAGAGGCTTAATTATGCAAATCAGTTAAACCATGGGTACTACAAAACAAGAACTTAGGTAAAGAAGAAATTCAAAAATTTTTTAAAGGTCCTCTTGTTTAGTCATGATTACAAGAATAATTAATTTTTATTACATGCAACTTGGAGAATGTACACACATTTCTATAAGGCTTTAAAGTAGAAATTTAGTCTGTAGACCACATTTAACAATCTCCAAAATTCCTTCACAGCTATAGTTATCTTCTCTTTGTAATAACTGATGCACTTTTATTTACAATACTTACAATTCATTACATTTTAGTATTTATTAACATTTTCTATAGGTTTTCTTATCTGTAAATTCTATTACTGGAATGCTAACTTGTCATTTCTTTATACAAAGTAGTCCATCACGGTTTCTCTCCTTTATTACCATACATTTATTTCATTTTAGATTACACACATCTTATTACTATAAATTTCAAATATAATATATATGTGTAAATTATAAAGGAAAATGAATATTCTTCCTAAATTGTTCTTCATATTCAATTAGTCACATAGAAAGATAACTTAAAGGTTAAAGTATACTGTCTGAGGCACAGTCTTACATTCTAATAGTTTGATCATACATGTTAGTTTACTTGGCTAAATCAAGAAAATATTTTTTTCCTGTCCAGGTTCAAGCTTGTAATGAATAGGAAACTGCCATAATGCTTTAGAAGGCATTTTTGTGCTGCCCTGTAATGCGTCTTTGACCATCAGTAATCTGAAGTTAGACAATTCAATATTTTAGAACACTTTTATACAGATGACAGCTAACAGTTTCCATAGATTATATTTAAGTTGGAAGATAAGCATTTCATGAAACATACCCAAAGTAAGCAAAAATTTTAATCTTTCGGATATATCCAAGCTCTGAAATAATTTTCTTCCCTAAATAAAATGGGAAAAGAAATTCTTGTTAAAATCTAGAACTTTTTCTCTCATAGATACGTTTCCCATAGCTGAAGCTGATTATATTGATATTTCCACTTATTTCTAGAGGTTTTATTGAGTTTTAAAAATCAGCTTGACCAAGAGCTATTTTCAAAATAACATTTTAAAAATAGTTGTATAATATTTAAATCTCACATATTAGATACAAGTGTGATCTTCAGCATCATTTACTTTGTGACCCACATAGAGATGGAGATGGTCCTGGGAAAGATCTGCCCATGCAGTCCTTACTTATTACCATGTACAGGTAATCTACTACTTGCATTGAGAAATACCCCATGACAGTCCTTCTACCAAGTAACTTCAGATTGCATTCTTTGTGTTCCAATAGTCCCTGAGCTTTTAAGTTGTTGCCTGTTTGCTTTTGGTGCTGGGGACTGAACTCAGGCTAGAAATGACTTTTATACTATGGACTTTTACCTACCTTTGAACCAAAAAGCTAGTTTTTATAATGTAAACAAGCTAATTGGGCCATGTACTCCTCTTGTGACCTGGGCATTATGACCTTAATCCTGCAGGACCCCACTTTGTCCTCCACCAAGACAGTGAATGAATGTGGGCATGCTTGTTAAACATACCCAACCTAAGTGCTGGAAGTAACCTTTTATTCTCATTGAAAGCAGTGAGAATAAGTCTGTTAGATATTGTGTATATAAGCTATTTTAGGCCTAGGGCAAGATTCTGTGATAAGATAAGGGTGGTTTCCCAGATGGTTGCTGGAAAGACTGGTTCTATAAAAGTACGGGTAAAGCTTGACTTGAGAGCACAGTTCCATGAGACAGCTAAAAGAACAGTTGATTCTCAGAGTTTGGGTCCATTCTTACCCTTAAACCTAAAAGTTAAGGGTCAGGCTGCTTTTTTATTCAGGTCTAACTGTAATGTGGCTTAATAACACTGCACCCAGGACCTCAAGTAAGTTAGGTCAGCACTGTATCACTGAGCAACCTTCCCAGTCCTTCCTACCCTATTTTAAGACAGATCTTCCCAGGCTGGCTGCAAACTTGGTTCTTTCTATCTCAGTTTCCTGAAGAGCTGATATTACAGGCTTTTTTGAGATATCCATTACATTTTAACTTCTTCCTTATTAATTTGCCTTTGAAAACTCCTTGACATGGATTCTAGAATCAAACACATCTCCAAAATTTATCTGTTGAACAACTGTGTGTACACCAAGTTGGATTCTTCCATCACCAAACAGCTAAATAACTTGGATAAATTAGTAAATCACCTTACACTTCAGTTTTCTCATCTGTAAAACTGGAATAGTAATAGAGCATTCCTTACAAATAGTTTTCAGGGTTATATAAATAGAAAATGTTTCAGCAGTATATAATCAGTATTATAGTTCACTCATTACAAATAAATGTGTATCTTTTTAGGTTATTTTATTTTAAATCGTGTGTGTGTGTGTGTGTGTGTGTGTGTGTGTGTGTGTGTTTATTTTAAAGTACATGTGTGTCTGTGTATCCACCAAGGTCAGAAGAGGAGAGTTTATTCCTTGGAATTGGTGGTTGTGAGCCTTCTGACATGGTGCTGGGAACTAAGGACAGCTCAGACTTTGAGTAGAGAGTGACTTTTATTTTATTTTTTAAAAAATATTTTATTTCTATTTTATGTATGCGAGTGTATTGCCTGCATGTGTGTAAGTGCACCTGTGTTGTGCAATGCTGGCCGAGGCCAGAAGAGGGCGTCAGATCCCCTGGAACTGGAGTTACAGATGGCTGTTAGCCACCATGCGGGTGTTGGGAATCGAACCCAGGACCTCTGCAAGAGCAGCCAGAGCTCTTAACCACTGAGCCATCTCTCCAGCCCCCAAGTTTTATGGTTTTTTTTGGGGGGGGTCTTTTTTCTTGACAGGGTCTTCCTGTAGCCCCAGCTGTCCTGGAATTCACTATATAGACCAGGGTGGCCTTGAACTCACAGAGATCCACCTGCCTCTAATTTTTATGTTTTTAAGAGGTAAAAAAAAATTTTTAAACACTCAAGATCAGCAGAGAGAGCACTGAAAAAAAAGGTTGATATTCCCTCATTTACTTACACTATCACTTCCAGAAATATAGTTTTATTTTTATCAATATCATATTTAATAACTTTCAGCATCTCCTCACATCTCACATAACTACAAATAATCATCTCCATTTAGTATTTCAAATCCAAGGATGTGGTTCCAACATATATTAACAGTAATGGCTTACTGTTAATTCAAAGTGTTTTGAACACACACACATCTACCAGTGTATAATAACTAGATCAGATTAGATTCCATATGCTGAATACTTGGTTCCAGCCTGTAACTGACTAAAGCTATTCCTTCAAAATAATAATTTTCTTAATGTGCTTCTCACAGTTCTATATAACTTTTACTTCACTGTCACACTTGAATGTTATTTTATGAATTAAATAATTTACAATTCAAATTACTTTCTCTAAGAAAACTGAAATGTTCCACTGCATTCTTTTTTTTTTTTTTTTTTTTTTTTTTTTTTTTTTTTTCTTTTTTGAGACAGGGTTTCCCTGTAGCTCCAACTGGCCAGAAACTTACTATGTAGACCAGGTTGGCCTTGGCCTTGAGTTCACAGAGATCCGCCTGCCTCTGCCTTCCAGTGCTGGGACTACAGGCATGTGCCACCACGCCTGGCTGTTTCACTGCATTCTTACATATTCAGTTCTAGAAAAATAAAGTACACTACCACCTTATGATATTTATGGGTACAATGTCTTTGGTCATTTTTGTAGGTTTACAGGTTCATCTCTACAGCATCAATAAAGCCACAAAAGTTTAGCAAAGCAGCTTTAGTAGTTTAGCTAAGAGTACAGCTTTAGAGGTGGACGAGTAGGTGTGTATCTGATCAACTATTTGCTCCATATAACTTAGACGCTAGTCTTTGTGTACCACAATTTTATTTTGTATCACAATTTTTTAATTTTTAAGGACATCGCAGGAATTTTATGTTTGCTGGAAAAATTGACAAAGCCAATATAAAGTTATAAAAATTGCCTTTTGATAAATAATAAATGTCATCAATTATTTAATTATTTATCTTCTAAAGATTTAATACTGTTTCCAGATAGTCTTGATTTTGTACATGTTTATTTTTTCCATTTGAAAGAAAATGGGCACTTCTAAAAGGAGAATTTTACTCTACTTCTTTTTTAAAAAAGTATTTTATGCCAGGCGTGGTGGCGCACACCTATAATCTCAGCATTTGGGAGGCAGAGGCAGGCAGATCTCTGTGAGTTCAAGGCCAGCCTGGTCTACATAGTGAGTTCCAGGACAGCTGGGGCTACAGGGAGACCCTGTCTCAAAAAGACCAAAAAAAAAAAAAAAATCACATATATATGTGTGTGTGTGTATGTATATGTATATATAATAAAATAAAGTGCTGTTAACCACTGAGTCATCTCCCCAGCCAATAAATAAAATATTTATTTATTTATTTATTTATTTATTTATTTATTTATTTATTTATTGAGACAGGGTCTCCCTGTAGTCCCAGCTGGCCTGGAACTCTCTATGTAAACCAGGCCTCGGAACTCACAGAGATCTGTCTGCTTCTGCCTCCCGAGTGCTGGGATTAAAGGCGTGTGCCACCATGCCCGGTAATATATATATTTTTTTATTTTAACATAACACCTAAGAAAATCAGCATGGAGGAAAGATTTAGTTTGTTTAGTTTCAGAGGTTTCAATCTAAGCTTGGCAAATTCCACAGCTTTGGGCTTGCTTACTTTTTTCCCTCCAAAGGCATGCAGCCAATAACTTAGTTTCTCCAATTAGGCCCCAATCTCTAAGAGCTCATTCAAATATGAATCATCAATAAATTAATCCACTGCCGAAGTTAGTAACTAATCCCCTTTCAAAAGCACCACCATCTGTGGATCGATTCATTATAGGAGCCTTTGGGAAAATTTTAGATCCTAAACCATAAAGAAAACAATCAAAACTTCTGCCTCACGAGACATTGTAGTCTAAATAAAGCAGATAAACATTATAGTAGAAGGAGAGGAAGGAGGAGGGAGCAGAGGGGGAGGAAGGGGAGAAAGGGGAGGAAGGAGAAGTAAGAGAGGAGGGAAGGAACTAGGGGAGGCCTCTAATACTGAAAGATGATTGGAGGTTGGATCAATAGTATATTAGTTACCTCTCTAAATCTACTCTCATCTTTTTTAGATCTTTAATTAAAGATTACATTTTCTAGCCTTCCTTGTACCTACATGTGACCAAACAAGTAAACTTTCTCTAGTAAAATACATACAGAATTCATATTCATAATTTTTAGACATTTTCAATCAGTCCAGTAATCCTGAACTCACTTCTTCCCCTCCTGCCTAGCTGGAAAAGATGATAAAGGCAGGAATCTTAAAACTAGATATTGAGCCTGGAGGAGCTAGGCCCAAGTGATCTAGACTGCTTCATAGCATTACAGAGCAGAGCCACCATACCTGCTCTAGATGGTCATATGGACAAGGAGCATCAAGTTCCTTAAATTACTGTACTTTTTTAACTCCTTTGTATTAAGAGTGGCTTAAATCTTAATAATAATACACAAAAAATGCTAAATATTAAGTTAATGGGAAATATAAAGAGAATAGCAAATGAAACCAGAGGCAAGAGGGACTATAAACATATAAAAAGTGTTGGTAGGGGCTAGAGAGATAGCTCAGTGGGTAAAGTGCTTGCTGTGCAAATGTGAAGACCAGAGTACAGATCCCCAGCACCAACGTAAGTGCTGGGTAGGCATGGTGGCTCAACTGTAGGTCCAATCCTGGGGAGGTAGGGATGGGATCTAAGGAGCAAGCAAGTTCTGGGTTCAAGTGAGAGACCTTACCTCAATATATATGGATGAGAAAAATTGAGAAAGACATCCAGTATCAACCTCTGACCTCCATACACATATACACATATAGAACCCCCCACCACGTACCCACACATGTAAACATGCATAAACACCACACACATATGAATGCAAACAATTGTAAGCAACTTAATATTTCTAAAATTGTGTATAGTTAATAAATTGAAATTTTAACTATGTACAAAGTATAACAATTTATACAGATACTAAATAATACTTAAATTAGTTAAATTTACGCCTTTAATCCCAGCACTTGGGAGGCAGAGGCAGGCGGATCTCTGAATTCAAGGCCAGCCTGATCTACATAGTGAGTTCCAGGATACCTGGGGCTACAGGGAAACCCTGTCTCCAAAAAAAAAAATTTATATTTACTAAAAGTCTGAACATTTCTAGAGATACCAAAAGTCATAAATTATCAAACAGAATTTTTAAGAAAAATTGAGAATTAAATTTTTTAATCCTTATATCTATTCAATTTTCACAGCAAACATTTTATTACTAAAATAAGTTTCCTTCCTAAAAAGACAAGTCTAAAAATACAGAATTTCTTTTTAGAAATTTAATATTTCATTATACATACTATACAAAGCTCAAATAAAATTATCCCAAGAGACCACACATCTGATTTGGGACCAGAAGGCAATGGTTTTTCACTTGGCACATGATCAGTTGTTTTGAAAATTCCTTGTGCAATGACCTCAGGTGCCAGATATGATGGATACCTATAATGACATAAAACAATGAAGAGTTATAATGAAGTGGACTGGGAAAGGAAGTACATTTTTACTATTTGAAAAACTAGGTAAAAACTCAGACAATTAAATTGACAGTAATTACTGGGATAAATCCTAAACTAATTTTGAAAATAGAGGCCTTTATATCTAGGAATCAAATTTGAATAGTCAGCAATTTATAGATTCAATGGAATCCAAATCAAAATATCCATGACATTCTTCACAGAAATAGAAAATAAAAAATCCTAAAAGTCACACGGAAACACAAAAGACCCCAGATAGCCAAAGTAATTCTGAGTAAAGAAGTGCAATGCTGACATTACCATACCAGATTTCAAAGTATATCACAGAACTATAGTAATAAAAACAGCATGGTATTGGTACAAAAACAAACACAGAGATAAATGGAACAAAATAAAAGACTCACACATGAGTCCACAACATTACAGCCACCTGATATTTGACAAAGATGCCAAAAAATACACACTAGAGGAAAGACAGCATCTTCAGTAAATGGTGCTGGGAAAACTAGATCTCTACATGTAGAAGAATGAAATTAGAACCATATCTTTCACCCTGCATAAAAATCAACTCCAGGCCTGGCGTGGTGGTGCATTCCTTTAATCCCAGCACTCGGGAGGCAGAGGCAGGCGGATTTCTGTGAGTTCAAGGCCAGCCTGGTCTACACAGTGAGTTCCAGGACAGCTGGGGCTACAGGGAGGCCCTGTCTCAAAAAGACCAAAAAAAAAAAAAAAAAAAATCAACTCCAATGGATCAAAGCCCTAAACTGTGAAATCTGAAGCACTAAAACTGTTAGAAGAAAACATAGGCCACAGCCTACAAGACTCAGGCGCAGGAAAGGACTCTCTAAATTTGATTTTATTTGCTCAGGAATTAAGACTAACAACTGACAAATGGGAACCTGTAAAATGAAAATTAGGTAATCGGTGTTTGTGTGTGTGGGGAGAGAGAGAGAGAGAGAGAGAGACAGACAGACAGACAGACAGACAGACAGACTTGGTAATGAGCACCATAATCTGGACTTTTCAATTCAATTACACTATTCTGTAATAACAACTCTAGTCAAAATATATTTAAGTATGGGTCATCAATGAACTACATTTATAGTGGGTACTCAGGTGATACTTCCCTTTCTCCTTTTCTATAGACACCTCTTCAAGCTAACATTGTCTATACCTCCTACTTATATGTAAAATACAACTCTTTTAAGTCTGGGGATATAATAAATTAAAATGAGTATGTTTGGTTCTTTGTGAGACAAGGTCTCCCTGTAGCCAGGCTGGCCTGGAACTCACTATGCAAGCCAGGCCTTGATGTCAGAGAGATCCACCAGCCTCTGCCAAGTGAAGGGGTTAAAGGCATGTGCCACCATGCATAGCGAGTATGTTAAATTTTTAAGTCATTCCTCATCATGATATAGTTATGATGTAAATATATTCTTTTAATTCACTTATGTGTTCTTCTCATATACAAATCTATATTATGAAATTTTATCTTCAGGTGACCATACTGCTTTTCTAAGTAAATGTGTGAATTCTCCAGAAGCAGCTAAGAAGTCTAATGACAAAGTGCTGGATGTAATATTGTAACACTTGTGTTCCATTCTTTAAATTCTGTTTTTTGTTTGAGGTGCTAGAGATGGCCTTACACATGCAGCACAAGTATTCTACTACTGAGTTTCATCCCTAGACCCAACCTGTGCTCTAATTTCAGTACAATCCGATTTGGTTTCTTCATCTGCAGAAAGGGATAATAATGCCACCACACAAGGCTGCTATAATAAATATTAGCAAATACATAAAGATGTTCTATAAAAATGGAACATGTGACTCAAACTCAATGTTGTATTTTCATCATCACCACCACCATGTTATTTCCAAAGGCAAACTCCTATTTTTTTTTTTTTTTTCTGTCTTTCTGAGACAGAGTCTCCCTGTAGCCCCAGTTGGCCTGGACCTCACTGTGTAGACCAGGCTGGCCTTGAACTCACAGAGATCCGCCTGCCTCTGCCTCCCGAATGCTAGGATTAAAGGAATGCGCCACCATGCCTGGCTGCAAACTGTTCATTTTAATTCAATTTCCAACATATCTAATTCAAAATCATAGTATAACTAATGCAAAGTCAAGCAAAGCCTAAATAAACTGCTATATCAACAAACTTCTGGCAGAAGCACAGAGGTAACTCTTGGTCTAAAAATACTAGCTTCTCTTTTAACCAAAGACAGGAATGAATAAAAAACAATTAAGCCTTAAAATTTTGCTTTGAACATGACTGGTGAGGCAAATACAAGTGGCTTTCATCATCTGCTGTTTTAACAAGATATTAAGCTACTGCCCAACTGAAACAAATGCCCAATTTCCAGTTCTTTATAATATTTTGAAGCAGATGGTAATACTTTATTGTTCCTTAATATTTGTCATTGGAATCAACAACTAGCCTCTGCTGATGTAAATACGTTCTTTTCTGCCTTAGCTATTTGATCACTGACTTTATTTTTCCTGGCTAATGTTTCACATTTTGCTCTTTGCTACTTTCCAGTAAGATCCTTTGTGACCAAGGCTTCAAAGCAAGCTACACCAAATGCTAACATAAATTCAAAATGACTGATATGCTTTAAGAAAAACCACTTTTTTTTTCTATTTATCACCAAAACATAACTTTAAATAAAAGTCAGAAACTTAATGTTTGTGCTGTTTTTGAAGTCTTTTATATAAATTGATTTACACAAAGGCAGAAGAATAGTGGTCACATATTCTTAGCTCTTTGAAAGTCTTAAGAAAGGGTAATTGGGCTGGAGAGATAGCTCGGCAGTTAAGAGTACTGACTGCTCTTGCAGAGGACCCAGGTTCAATTTCCAGCACCCACATGGTGGCTACAAACTATCCTTAACTCGAGTTCCAGGGGAATCCGAAGCCCTCTTTTGACCTCTAGGGCATTTTCACAACACGGGTGCACTCACATACATGTAGGCAACACACTCATAAAATATTAAAAAAAGAAAAGGTAATTATCAAGCTGGGTATGGTGGTGTACACCTTTAATGCCAGCACTGGGAGGCAGAGGCAGGAGGATCTATATGAGTTCAAGGCCAGCCTGGTCTACACAGTGAGGTCCAGGCCAACTGGGGCTACAGGGAGACCCTGTCTCAAAAGAAAAGAAAAGAAAAGAAAAGAAAAGAAAAGAAAAAAAGAAAAGAAAAGAAAAGAAAAGAAAAGGGTAATTATTGCACTTGAGCAAGAAGCTCAAATTTGGCTAAAAATTTCTAATTAGTTCGAGGCCACCTTATTTTGATATATCACAGTGAAAGATTTATCGTCCTCTTTTTTTTTTTTTTTTTTTTTTAAAAAAAAAAAAAAAAAAAAAAAAAAAAAAAAAAAAGGGATTTTTTTTTCAATAAGAACTCATTGACTATCATTATAAGATATAATTTTCATGTTTATCAATAATTGTTAGCTGTTATAAGCTTTGGTATGTGGAACAATAATATGAATTTGCATCCCTTAATAAGTAGGCCATCAAAACAACATTTATCCACTTAAGCATGAGCTTCTTGGGAACAAGAACTAATCTTAGCCTTGTGCATGCACTAGGCAGATCAGAAAGTGCTCATAAGTGTTTCTTCAGGGACCTCAGCCCCAAGTATACTACTTATGCTTCACGAAATGAAATGTTACAAAAGAAATCTATAATCTGCTTGGTGGTATATAACCACAGTCTAACACTCAGAGTAAGAGGTTATCCAGGACTACATAGCAAGTTCAAGGCCAGTCTGAGACCATAGTCCAAACAATCAAACAAACCTATAATCTGAGGTATTAGGATAAAATGGCAATGAGGCTTTCAAAAAAAAAAAAAAATCTAATTTCTTAAAGTGATGATCTGCTTTAAAAATTTTCTCTATGACTGCATATCATCATTCTTAGTACTAGTATGATAGAGCTGACTTCAGGAATCCCAAGGAGAAAGCAAGACTATTACTAAAGACCACGACATCACAGGAGAATAACTGTGATTAATACAGTTTTTTAATATTTTATTATTTTTATTTTATGTGTATGTGTATATTGCCTGCATGTAAGTGAGTGCGCCCATGTCGTGTAATGCCCACGGAGGACAGAAGAGGCTGTTGGATCCCCTGGAACTGGAGTTACAGACAGATGTTAACTGCCATGTGGGCACTGGGATTCGAATCCAGGTCTTCTGCAAGAACAGCCAGTGTTCCTAACCGCTGAGCCATTTCTCCAGCCCCGTGATTAATATTTCTAAGTTAGATTATAATGTTCAATTTTGGTTTATTCATTTTCATCATTGTTCTGAAGTTAGATAAGGAAAAGTCCTTATATTATGAAATATAATATAAAGTATTTAGTAACAAAGAAACAGTATTTATTAATTATTCTTAGACTACTGCAAGAATTATTAAACATATACAAATTCAATCACAGAAAATTAGACAATATATAGTAAAATGTTAACATGTGGAAAATCTGAATAAGGCTATTCAAAATTCATTTCCTATTTTTGTTGAAAACAATGTCAACACAAGGAAAATAATTACATTATGAAAATGTTTCAAAGGAACCATACAAAAATATGACAAAAATTTACTATCAAAACATATACTGAAGTCTAGCATGAAGTAAGGGTCCATTAATTTCTTGGTGAGCAACAGCGATCTGATATTCCATATCAGAATCAATTAAATAAACCTTGTTAAGCTCAAACATATACTTCTAGATTTAGAATTTATCACATTACCTCCAATATTCACAAGGACTCAACTTGAATTTAAAAATACAATTCAGTTTTAGAGAACAAGAATTAAATATAAAACAGTAAATTGGAAATAACAGAAGTGATGTTTTCAGTTTCATAATATACACATACTATCAATAAGTATCTGATCAGCTTTCTTGCCTTAAACTACTTAATGAATGGAATGAAATTAATTTTAAAATATTGGAAAGTAAATAAGATCAACATTTTGTGATTCTTTGTGCCAGTTCAATGAAACTGGGATCTTTGAGTTACTGGGAAAATGTTCATTGTTTACTTTTTAACAAAGTATACAGAAAATTAAATGTATTAAATAAAGAAAAACTGTTTTCATGTCAAAAATCACTAACCAATTATACTATCAAAGTTTATCAAAATTAGCAAAGAACTCAAAATAGAGGAAAATAATTCTTACCCTATTGGGAAATCTACATCATCACCATGAGCTGTCATGTGATAAAGTCCAAATTTAGCCAGTTTAATATGACCCTATAATGAAAAGAGAAAACTGCTATGAAATATCTCAATACAAGTACCAAACAAAATTATCATTGTATGTTTTATAAGATAAGTATTACACAATTAGATATAATATTTTCTCAAAATATTACTTCTAACATTATATGAAATACCATGCAGAATCATCTGCTACTATTTAGTCTGCTTTATACTTATTAAAAATATTTGTATGCCTGTGGGTCACATGTCAAATCAAGTTTTCTTTTGAATTTATATGCATAGTAACAAGGCATCAAGGTTTCTTCTAATGAAGAAAAAAAGGAAAAAGAAGTTGTTATTGTTCTTAAACTTCGTTATAAATGCTTTGCAAGAATTTTGTAAAAGAATTTTTTTCAGAGACTTTCAAGACCATAGATGATGCTATAATTTAATTATGAAAAGACTTCACATGAAACTGTCTTAGTATAAAAAGTTCAAAATTCTCATAACAGATGGAAAATTTATTTGTTAATGTTATTATGTCACATAATTATTAAAAAAGAAAATGAGAAATGTAAAAGATATTTAAAGGATATGGGAATGGAAATATTTTCCAAAATAGAAAACATGAGAAAGAATAAGCAAGTGATGAAGGTCTGTGTAGGTTTGTTATGATATATAAACAGTGAGAAAAAAATAATATACACATAATCTTAAAATTTCTAAGGTCATAGTTTAGTCAACTACTTTAAGGAACAAAATATATGTCTAGGTAAGGTTTATCTGAGAACGTTTGTTTTTATGCCCAAGCTTTATCTACATAGCACATGGTAATTAAAAGTACCAGACTGGTAGAACTAACTTTCTTGGATGTTTAATAGCCATACGTTGAGGCCTATACTAATCTGGTCAGAGGGACTTAATGTGCAGTTTTTACTCCTTGCCCTCCAAGGTCAACTAAGTTCCAGGGGACTACAGAACATCTCTCAAAATGTCCGTAATTGTGGTGAGTTACCTGTCCTCTTGTTCAGGGGAGCCATGGGAACCTCACCAGATGGACTTGAACCAGTGTCTAGTCTACAAAGAGGAGGGTCAACTCAGAGGAAACATTTCCTCCATGCTTCCAAGTGAAGTCAGTCACAATCGAACAGGGGCTTTCACTTAACTTCACATAGATGGAACTGGTAAAAGAAAGGAGCCAGGGGCTTCTCCGAAGCCTATGTGACCCCTGAAGAACAGACCTTCAAACAACCTTAAGAGTAAAAATAAATTGGTTTATATATGGTCTTAAACACCCAAAAGGAAAGTATAACCAAAGATTAAAGTGATCTCTATATTTCTTTAAGAGTTCAAGGGATTACACTTCCCAGACATTAGGCTTAAGTCCATATAAAATGTTATTTAGACAATTAGTTCTTGTTGATGATTTTGTTTCTAAGATGTAAGACTTCAAATCTTGGTCTGCAATACTGTAGTGCCCACCTGCAGTGTAGGGAGACAACCCACTATGTTCTAAAATGATGGCTAAATTTGTTTTCTCCTCCTATCTAGAAGCCTTTGAGAGGGAACTGACACTAATTCTAGCCACTGCAACAGCTATCAAAGTGCCTGAAAACAAATCCTGAGTCCATCACTCTAGAGTCAGCTTTGGCAGACAAAAGAAAAAGGAGGAACCCAATACAGGGATGCTTTTGGAAGCTCTCATCAAGAATTCCAATTGACTCTCATATGAACATTTGAAATTTGCCCTGTTCTTTTTTCTGGTTCCCTGTCTAGAACTTGTAATGCTATTTATTCTTGCCTTTCATTCTCATTCACATCTCCTATTCACTAGTCAAGGACTTTCTTTTTTCTCTACAGTTAAGAGTTAGCAATTTGGGAGTCTTTTCGATAGACCCACTGAAGGGGTACCCCAATTGCCTCACCCTGTGTTCAGCATGGAAGAATCCAGAGTGGTCTGAGTCCCGATTCAGCAATTTGGGTAACCTCTTTAGGGGATGGTGTGATAAGAATAGGAGGTAGGAACTGGCTAGGCAGTTAGGGTATAAAGACCCCAAAGAAAAGTAGCCAGTTTCTTGGCTGAAAGTCAAAATGTCCTTGCACCACTTAGCAACTCTGTTCCAAAGGTCAAAAATGTCAAAAGTATTTGGTAGCTTCTATATAATCCCTCAAAGATTTTGGGGTTACCGCTTCAGAGGGA